GGGGGCTGAGACAGTGGGGGGAGGTTGGGGAGGATCGTGCAGAGCCCCCCATTCAGCATGGCGCAGTGGGGGCAGTGGAGATTGCCCCCCACCTGGCATCACCCGGTGAGCCAGGGCTTTTTTTTTCCAAGTGCTGGGAGCTGGGGCAGGCAGGGCAGCCATTGCAGAGGTAGGAGAGTGGGCGAGGGATGGGCCTGGGTGATTTGGCTGAATTGATTCGGGACAGTGATTCAAATCATCAAATCACTGTCCCCTGAATCGGCCAAATCCAGAGCAAATACTAGCCTCAATTCAGCCCCTGTTCTGTAATGACACTTAGTAACTTCAGTCTGCCCTACTGACAACCAGTTTATGTTCAAAAGCCTCCTTTTGTTAGACAATTATTAATCTTATTTAACAGGTTGTGAAACTGGGGTAAAGAGAAGTTAAAATTTGCAGATAAATTAGTGTCAGACAAAGGATAAGAATTTAGGAAACCTGACCCTCTGATCTCTTGCTTGTTCCTCTAGATCAGTGGTTCTCAAACTTTTTGGTACCAGGACCCATTTGTAAACATCAATGGCCAGTCCCAACCCAGTGCCCCTCACTCCCGATCCACTGCCTCTCTGCCCCAGGCCTCCAGTGTGTGGGGCAAGGTAGGGGGGAGGAAGGAGTGGGGAGCATGGGGGGTCCCAAGCAGCTGCAAGCAGCAAAATTCTGCCAGCCTCTGAGGGAAAAGCCAAGGTTTCCCACATTTTTCTCTTTGAAACAAGAATCCATTTTTAAAGTTTGTTCACGACCCGTTCATATACTCTTGCGACCCACAAGTTGAAAAATGCTGCTGTAGATGGCCCTCAGTCTTAGACACTTCCTGGGAAATTATTGGAATTTGTAACACGTGATCAGAGCTGAGTACTAAGAAACAGCAGCCAGAATGACCAAAAGAAATATGACAAGCAAGGCAGCAGTGTTCAGCTACATGAACATAGTGATAAGAAATACTTATATAATAAAAACACAGGAACCAATGAGTCCCTTGGATCTGATTAAAACCAAAACTTTCCTTAATTTTTTAGAAACAAGGAATGCTGAGAAAAATCTCATATAGAAAACACTAACATGTGTTTCTGGAGTTAACATGTGCTCCCTGATGCCCAGCAGCTCAGTAAAGCTAATACTATTAGGATTTTCCTCAAATTCAAGCCCTCCAGAGCAGAGAGCCTGGTCTACCTGGCTGTCCTAGAGCCACATGTTGGAAACACTGATCGCTTGTCCCTGGGGCAGTCTGCCAGCAAACCAAGCAGAAGCCACTAAAAGTCCGACCTGGGATTCTGTGACAGCTGATCCACCCTGAGATGTCAGACAAAATACTTGAATTCTTAAGGAATCTGCCTTCTGTGCAGGTGCATAATGGGGTAGACTAAGCCCTCTGATCTCTTGCTTATTTGTATCACTTGTACAGAGATTAGCCATGGTGCTATACCAAAAACAAAAAAAAAGATCCAGCAACATCATACTGGCATGTACAAATACAGGAATATAGCACGTGAAGTAATCTCTCTTTTCTACACTGCCCAGACAGAGTACTGTGTCCAGCTCAGAGCACCAGTCTTCAAGAAAGTTATGAACTAATTGGAAATAGTCTAAAGGAAAACAACCAAAATGATCAACAGTCTAGAAAAAAATATGATTAGTGTAGAAAACAAAAGACTAAGGGGAGATATGGCAATAGTCTTTAAAAATGTGAAAGTCTAGAGCAAAAAAGTTACACACCATTTTCACATTGCCTGGGAATAAAACAAAAAGGGGATTAAAGTGGAACAAAGTAAAATTCGGTTAGACAGTAGCATAGGTATATCCTAACTGTAAGGATAGTTAGGACTGAAATAGGTTGATACCCAGATATATTGTGGTGTATTCATCACTTGGGGCAAGTTAGACAAAAATCTGCCAGAAATTGTTAAAGTACAGTTGTTCCTGCCTCAGGGCAGGGGAAAAGAGTAGATGACCTCTTCAGGTCACTTCCATTTCTCTATTATTCCGTTACTCTATTATATGACTGTGGATAAAGAGATCTATTTAATCCTGTTGCGACTGAAGTTCTCAAGGTCAAACTCTAATCCCTAGTAGCATCCTGTGTCCCCTGCTGAATGGAAACCAAATGGTCTGTCTCACTGCATGCATTTGAAAAGGTTTCACTTTCCTGTGTTAACAGGAACACATTGAAGATGGAAAGCCAAGCCTATACAAATCTGTGGTCAGCAATGCCTGCAAAGAGATGTCAGCCTTCTCAGACTTCCCTTATCCTGAGGATTTTCCAAACTATCTGCCCAATGCCAAGATCTTTGAATATTTGAAGCTGTATGCACAGCATTTTGACCTTGTAAAGCACATCCAGTTCAAGGTGAGTGTCCAGGATATGACCAGGACATAGGTGTTGGGTTTTGATCCTAGCGGCCACAGCCCAGAGGATCAAGAACAGGCAAGTCAAGGAAGAAATGATCCAGACTACAGCAAGGAATCAATGGATCAGGAGCAGGCAGATGAGGAGGCCAAGGTCTATAAAGGACCAGGACATGCACAGTCACCCTGTGTAAAACCAGAAGCCAAGGGAAGTGAGGTGGGAAAGGAGGATTGGGAACAGGGGACCGGAATCCAGACTGGCATTGCGAGCCAGGAGGTCTTGAGCAGGCAGCTATAGCTAGAGGGGGCTGGAATATGGACGATCACCTAGATAAGTCGCAAGGCAGGATTTGGGTTTCAGAAAACGAGTCTGGAAATACAAGGGGTCACAAAATCAGCAAGGCCATCAGAAAGCACAAGGGGCCAAGCTGGAGTCTGGAACCAGGAAGAGGCAGGCAGGAGCCAGGATGAGTCCAGGTAATAGGACCCTGGTCACAGGAAACCAGAAACAAACAAGCAGGACCAAGGAAACTAGAAACAGGGAGTCAGAAGCCTGGGGCTAGACTGGGTTGTTGTTGAGTAGCCTGGCGGGTGCTGGACCTGCTGCCTAAAAGCAGGAAGCCACACCCAGCAGGCAACTGGGGCTAGCTGGGGCTAGCTGGGCTAGTAGCAACCAGGCCAAGTCAGTTAGGGTCAGGCAACAGCAATTTGTCTAGTTTGCTGCCCTGACCCCTGACATTGAGCTACAGAACACAGCATCTGTTTCACAGAGGAGAATGAGGGTCTTGTTAAACATTCATTTCAGGTGGCTCCTGGAGCTCTTAACCCCTGGATTGTCCACACATTAATGCCTGAAACTAGTTAAGCCCACTTTGGGTGGCTTAAAATTATGCTACTCCAGGGCAGTTTTATCTCTGATCCATGTTACCCAGCTCATGTTCCATTAACGTGTAGCCACTCCCCACAGATGAGCCGCCCAAGTTGCAGTCCTCCAGTATCCCAAGATAGTGTCCCTTCCCTCACCTTCCTATTCTTTGTGGACAAACTTTCCCCAGGGGGTAGTCCTGGCACCAAGCGAACTCACTCTCCTGCCTATGGGGGTGTGACCTTCCCACTCCCAGAGGTGCACCCCATGCAAAAAGCCCGCAGAACATATATCAGCTAGCCAGATCACTGGACATGGATGAGTCCAGGAATGGAGTCTAAGGGCAGGAGTAGGGAGGGAATAAGGTAGGGGACTGGATTGGGTCTCCATGAGCTGGTGCTTCCTTCCCAGGCAGGGGTAATAGGTCCCCCAAAAGTGCCTTCCCTTACCAATCTCACTTCCCAGCCACCACAGGAAGCACAACCAGCACCCCCCACAGCCCAATCCCAATTTATTAAAACATGAAACCTTCTTTAATTTACTTCCTCTTTATTTCTTTTTAAATTCTTTTTATTTTATCCTTCAGTGGCTGACTTCCTTAATTTCACCACCCTTCTCACATCCCCATTTCCTCTCCACCTCCCATTTCATTACCCACCCCCATCCCATTAACTCTCTTCCTCCCAACTTCATGTTCCTGTCCCACCCTCCCAACCCTCTCTCATACACCCTGACCTAGAGCAGGGATAGTAAGTAGCCTGTCCTGGCTCACCAGGGCAAGCAGTGGCAGCTCACAGCTGTGGCTCCTAGTCAGGCCCCTGCTCCCCAGCCATCTAGTGGCAAGTTACAGCTGTGCGGGTAGGAGACAATCAGGGAAGGTTTTTAGCCTTAAGGTGTGACTGCTGCAAGCTCCAGCTAGCATTAACACCAATCAATATTTGAGCAACTCAAAGTGCAATGTGTTACAAGGCCTTAAGAGTCTATAAGTGCTGCCAGCTAAAAGAGTTACTCTTTAGAAAAGACACCGCAGCTTGTGCTGGCAGCAGTAAACAACTTGGGTTTATCAATTGCTGATGACCCAACTGGGATCAACTATATAAAAAGTAGCGTGGTGTCTTATGAAGTGAAGGTAAGATAGTTATATACCTTTACAGACTAACTAAATAAGATATAGATAGATAGCACAAGCTTTCATGAACTGAAGTTAACCTCATCAGATGCTGCTAAAGTATGTGCAGAAAGCAGAGTATAAAAAGAAGAAAGAAATTAGAATACAAAAGAGATAGAGGGGGAGAGGAGGGAGAGAGAGGTAGTGCTAGGAGAGAAAATCAAACTTGCAGTCTGTCATAGGAACACAGGGGGTCACAAAAGCTAATCCAGGTAATGAGATAAGAATCTATAGTCCCTCTTTAAGCCATACTTAACACAATCCACATAGCAGATGATGTCTTGTTCCACAGTTTCCCATTAAACTACCTCTTTTTGCTTATGTATTGAAAACATTGATCTTCTGTAATTTAGAATTGAAGTCTCCGGCATGGCATCTGCCTCCCAAAAGCATTCTATCCCCAAAAGACTCAGGTGGTATGGTTGTAGATACAGAACTGCTGGGCTGGGGATAGAGAAAGAGCATAAGAAACCATAATCTTCCAGTAACTCATCTTGCTGTTTCCTGCTGTGGTGGTAGTGCCTAAAAACCAGTGATGGACCACTGGCTAGATCTTTCAAGGTGTTCGGCACTTATAAATATGTCCCTAGTGAGATTTCCAAAACCACTCGGACACTTGAGCAAGTCATCTACGTACTTCTTGTCATAACCCAGTGATTCTGGTGCCTCGGCACGATGGAATTTTCTTGCCACATGAGAGCCTCTTGCACAGCGAAGGATTTTGCTGCACATAGGAACCTCGGTGCAAGAGAGTTCCCGCCAATTTGCAGCTTTTTTTGCAGGATGCATTTCTTCCTTGCAGCACAGAAATGCACAGTGCAAAGAGTTCCCACTATTCGAATGCAAATTTGTGTCCCGCTATTGGCCAGCTCTAAATTATTCACACATAGCGGCTGGTAATTGGCCTGCTGGCCGTTTAAAAATTCGCGTGACTTCTGCCCAAGTCGAAGAACTTTGAGCACGCTGCAGAGTGCCTCTAAAGAGATCTGACTTGCGGCTAGCTGATCGATAGACTGATCACCTATCGATCCTTCTTCCCGTCATCGAGCGCAATCCCAGACGTACCCTTTTCCCGCCGGC